TATATATATATATATATATATTAAGCATAAAACAACATGCCCCCTCTCTCTCCCTCCCTATATATCTATCTATCTCTATATATGTATATATATATATATATATATGTATATGTATGTATGTATACACACACACACACATATATATATATATATATCCGCGTATATGCATATAGACACTCACATATAAATGCATCAGCCCAAAAATCGAAGGGAAGCCTATAGAACCAGCTATAAACCGCCTGGAAAGCTGAACCCGATTTCCCGAAACTTCCCGAACCTTCTGAAGCCCGTTTGTGACGTTTCAATACAAGAACGGCGAAGAGAACCGCACAACGGCCATGAAACCTTGTAACATCCAGTAAGCTTCCTATAACCCTTCGATCTCCAGAGAGCCCTACATAAATTTACAACACAACCCCCGCCTAAAACCCTAACCCGCAAGAACCCTGAACTTAAAACCCTCACCCTGAACTTTACGATTCAGGGCTTCGGGTTCAAGTTGAGGGGGGGTTATGTTTGAGCACTGCAACGCGCCTACACCTACTAAAAGTACCTTTTAGGGGTCTAGAGTAGCGGGGTTTTAAGTAGTTACAGGTACAGCTACATTCGTTATAACCCTAGTTGCCAAGTTTTATCATCCTTTGAGGTCCCTAAGACCTAATCCTAAACCCTTAAAGTTTACCTTACAGGGAACCCTATTATATAACCCCTATATTCCGATTAAAGGGGACCCTTGTGACCCTGGTAGATAAGTCCCATGACCCTTTAAGTAAGCTTCCTAGACCCTAAAACCCGAAAGCCCTAAGCAAACCCTCAAAACCCTGAAGCACTAAAGCCTTTTTTCCCTGAACCCTAAACCCTAAAGCCCTGAAGCCCTAAAGCCCTAAAAACCTAAACCCTAAACCCTAAACCCTAAACCCTAAAACCCTAAAGCCCTGAAGCGCTAAAGCCTTGAAACCCTAAGCCCCTAAAACCCTAAACCCTAAAACCCTAAAGCCCTCAAGCCCTAAAGCCCTAAACCCCTAAAACCCTGAACCCTAAACCCTAAAACCCTATAGCCCTGAAGCCCTAAAGCCCTAAACCCCTAAAACCCTGAACCCTAAACCCCAAAACCCTAAAGCTCTAAAGGCCTAAAGCCCGAAACCCTGAACCCCCTCAAGCCCTCAACGAGAGCACCCAGGTCGGCGGCTTCTTTGCGAAGCTCTTGGCCTGCCCCGCAGGGCTCTGCATCTTCATCGGCCCCTTGGTTTACGGTTTAGGGTTGAGTGTTG